GATGCACCTGCGGCCAGGTGCGCGCTCGAGCTGGCGCACGGACGCCGGCACCTGCGAGCTTTCCTAAAAGTACAGCGATCACAGGGGACCCCTCGCGTGTAATTGAAACAAACGCTGAGAAGGTTTGGGGATGAACTGTGAATCCTCCCACCAAAATTTTCTTTTTTCCAACCAGCTCCCATCCCAGGAGAAGCCAATGCCAGGACAGGTTTCGTTTTCAAAATGGGGTGATAATTGGGGGCCCTGCCACCCTGTCACGCCCCCCCATCCACACTGCAGGAGCCCGAGGAACACGGCTCAGCGTGCCGTCCACCGGCCCGCAGCCCTTCTGGGACACCGTGGACGGGGGACAGCCCCAGCCCCCAGGGGCAGACCAGTGGGCACTTGGCTGTTTCTTCCTCGTAAGAAAGGACTTCTGTTGTTTTTTTTTAAAGCTATGCATCTTTCCAAAAAACTATATTAATACAAATATCCAAGTAAACTTTAGTATCAAATCCTCCTGGGAAAGTATTATCCTCTTCATTATCATCCAGGAAAGGTACTTAATTTAGAACTGCGTTTTCCATGAAAACAAACAAAACGTCTTCACCGTTCCTTCCCTCCTTCAGTGCAGCACTCCTTCCATTTCTGAGTGCGGCTGGCTCCTTGGTACAAGGGAAGGAAATGAGAACTCACTCACTCAGAGATCAAAGCACCCACGCCACGGAACCTGGAGCTCAGGACGCCTGTAACTTGCCTTTCCCAGCTGGTGACTGTTTCATACAATCCTAACTCCTACTGCCTTTACTGCCGACGTGAACGGGAAGCTTCGGCTAAAACAAGAGGATGCGCCCCTACAGAGAGGAACGTCCCAGGTGCTCTGTGAAGCTACCCGCTTGGAATATTATTTAAAAGTCGCCTTTAATGCTCCGTTCGTGTTGGTCTTCCACGGAGGTCATGAAAATGTAAGTGAGAATGTCTTAAATAATAAATAACACACATACTATACACAGCATCCTCTAAGAAGGAGGATGTATTTTCAAACACATAAAAACCACCCATTATAAACATTTGCTATATTATAAATCAAAATAATTGCTTCTTCCCAAACGTCAGGTCAGCAAGGGCGGGAGGGCTTCGGGGAAGCAGGGACAATCACTGAAGCGTTGTCACCTCCCGGGACATCAGGTGTCAGTGTCACCCCTGAGCCTTCGCACAGACGCTGACGGAGGCAGCCTCTCCCTCTGCTTTTCGGTCCGAGGCCCCAATTTGCTCCTGTGCTGTCGGCCTGGAGAAACGGGTGCATGACCTCGACTGCTAACTCCAGCCAGTGCTGCTACAAGAAAATCCAAAACGGCTCTAACGTCCAGAGCAGAAAGCGGCGTCTTAGACGCGGTGACCTGAGGGATGAGGAAGCAGAGATTCAGGCTCTAGGCCGTGAGTGAGACAACGCGAGGCAGCATGTAAATGCGCGATTCGGGTACAGCAGCTCCCTGGTGACGACGTGACATCAGACAGGGCTGTGTTCCTCCTCCCACAGAGCCTCCTGCTCACCTCTCACCCTCCTCCTCGAGAGAAAGGGCAAGGTAACAAGCAGAATGCAAAGGAAAGCTTCTCATTTCTGGGGAAGATAAACAGGGGAGCTCCAGGATTTTACGTCGTGTGTTTCATGAAAATGAACTGCGGCTCCCCCCGTGGCGGGTGGAGTGCGTGCTGCTGCACCGCCTGTGCTCCGCGGGGCGGCGGGCTGGGACCCACTTCGGGGTGAGCTTTCGGCAGCTTCGCTGCACGCCCCGTCAGACTGAACGAGGCTGCGCCGTCTCTGGAAACTAGTGACATATTTACTGGTGTCACAACTATGGGATCATCATAAAGTCACACAAAGGGGCAACAGTGTGCAGGAAACAGTCCTTTCTGAAGAAAATAATTTTGAGCCCTCAACAGAAGCACTGGTTAAGTGCTGTTCATGTATTTTCTTGCGATGCTCTGACTGTCTATAAATACGGGGTCCAGCGAGGCCACCTTTGCTGCTATGAAGGCGTGGATGCAATGCAGAACAGCCGTCAGGTCCTGAAACTCGAGTTCCTGTAAGAAAAAACACAGTGTGTACGTAAAATGTTAGAAAAACACATTACAAAAAATTCAACAGATGCTCTGCTCTCTGAATTACAAGCAAGTTACTCAAGTACAAACACCCATGAAATAAGGAAGGTTTTAAGGTGAGGTTAAAATATTTTGTTAAATTCAGCCACCATTAGAATTGCTTTTGGTATTCCCCGAACATTACAAATTATGAATAAAACAAATATATATTTAAAAAAGCAGCCAACACGATCGAAGGTGGTAACACCAACAGTGCCGGTATCTGTCTCCTTCCGCTGACAACCTGACGGTTGCTCTGAACCCCTTGTTTTCTGTCACCAGGGTCGGCTAATGCTCCTGCCCTCTGCTGGGCATCCTGGCTCCGCCTGTGCTTGGTGTCCAGTCACCCGACCAGCAGAGTCAGGGCAGGACTCCAGCCTCCCCTGAGGAAGCTGCAGAGGTCGGTCCCTGAGGTCCATGGAGAGCAGCCGTCTCCATCACATAGAAGTGCAGGGGCAGGGGCAGGGGCTCCAGAGAATGGAGGTGAGGCCATTCACGACGGCGGCTCCACTCAACTGCAGGTTGTCAGTGTAGACGGAACGGCTTCTGTTGGAAGAAGATGCCACCTAGGGCTTTCCTGGCTGCAGAGGAGGAGTCAGCGCCTGGCAGCACAGCGTCACAGGACAAGCGGCTCTCTTGATGGAGGAAATGTTCACACACCGAGGTACAGGCAAGCCCTTCCGGATCACACGTGGATTAACTTCAACTCTGTGCTGACGACAGTGGTCTGCCGTGTGCCCTGTTAACACACACAGCACATCTGATACAACCGTGAAAGAAAAGGGCGCGCTGACCAGAAGCAGCAAAAAGGACCCATTCTCAGGATGAACGCTGACTGTCTCCCTTCCGGGGACGCCGGGGCTGGCGGTCCCACCACGAGATGGTTCCCTTCCCAGGCGCCAAGGCCACACTGGCTCGAGGGGCATGTGCTGCTCCGCCTTCCGGCCAACCTGGAAGGAACAGCCCCCGTCCTGGCTGGTGTGTGTTCTTGGTCCTGACGAGGCGGGAAACTGTGCTGAGAACCACACTTCTCCGGAGCAGCTCCTCAGAACCCCCGAGAGGCTGTCTCTCCAGCTACGGCCTCAGTCTGGCTCGAGTGAAATCTTTTCTGTTCCTTTCATAGATTGTTTATTGATTGTTTCCATCAGCACTCTTGTCGGGGCCAATGCAGCTGGTGACTTTAAGCTGAAGCCAACGCTCCGTTGCCATCAGACCACCCTAGGGCCCTTAAGAAGGGTGCTAAGTCCACACTGCCTGAGCTCTAGCAGAGGGACCACAAAACCTGGATGGCAGCACCTCTGTTCACAGCAGGTTTACTGAGTATTTTCCGCCCGCTGTTGAGACCCACTGCGCAGAGGATAAAGACTCCTTTCCAAATGCGACTGCGCACTGACAGTGGACCCGGCCCCCGGGCCCTGACAGAGACAGACGGTGAGACTCAGGTTGTTCTCAGACCCGTGGATCGAGGAGTCGTTTTGCCTTCAAAGGCTCATTATTTAAGAAATACGTTTTGTAAGGCTGTAGCTGCCACAGGGAGGGGTTCCTCTGATGGATCCGGGCAAAGTCAGCGGAAAACCTGGAAAGGATTCACTGTTTTCAACACCATGAACACTCACGATTCATGGGGAGAGGAGCTTGGAAGAAGTCGACTCTGGTCCACGTGGGTGACTCTGAGGGCATCCACACTTGCAGAGAGGAGGTGGCTGCCGGTGCGGTGGAAACAGGACACCCAGAACTGGAGTGGAGCCTGAAGACGTGTGAGCTGCTGCCACCTCAGGACAAAACCCGGACAGGTGAGGAGCTGCTTCTCACAGGTGAGCCAGGAAAGTGGCTTCCTGAGGTGGTGTGCGCTCCTGGAGGAGATGCTGCGAAGACCGTTGAAATGACAATAAGGGTTGAGGGTGTGACATAAGCCGAGCTGACGAAGCATCGTGGTTTGAGAGGATGGACTCCGCCTCCAGTGACCACCACCTGATTCGTCCGCAGCCAGCAGCAACGGGGGCTGCGTCCAGGGGGCTCAGTCCTGGACGTGCGGGGAGACTGGGCACTGCTGCCCTCGCTCCTCAGGGCGAGGCCACGGGGCTTCACAGGCAGCGACCCCGGGCCCAGCCCCAGGGCCCGACGCTGCTGACGGAGCTGAGAGCCATTCGTCCTGGGTCCCCCAAACCTGCGCCCAGAGGGTGTGCAGATTGGGGTCCCAGCGAGTGGCCCCTGGACTCACTGGCCTCTGTGCTGGCCCTGCCGCCAGGGCTGTGACGGGGCGCGTCCCCGCGGTCCCGCCCAGCTCTGCGCCCCCAGAGCTCGGACGCTCAGGGCTTGCTCCTGCCGCTGCAGAGGCTCCGATCAGCTCCACGCCTGTCGGTGTGACAGGGCGCCTCCCTCCGCACCGCCCCTCCTCCGGGAACCCCTTTCTCAGCACTGTCCGTCCACATCTGGCCACCGGCCGACTCGCGGTGGCTGAGGAGCAGTCTCCAGGGGAGTTTAACCTCCAGATCGTCAGAGAGGGGAAATGGCCGCCTCGTTCCTCCCAGTGGCAGCGTCTGCGTCACGCACACTTAAGTGGGCCGTCAGAATCGTGCACGTGCAGGTGCGTACACCATCAGGGTTTTCATTTGCAAGAGACTTACTAAGTCTGAAGATAAAAAGCTAAAATAGCTGACCTTTGGTGGCTCAGTCTAGAAGCAGAAATGAAATCACAAAGAAACATGTAAAATACAAGCGAAGCTGGGGGTGGAGGGGACACCATCCCTCCCCGCAGCGAACCCCGGCTTCCGTCCTTGCACTTCACCTGTACTTCACTTAAACCGCACATCGCCAGTTAGCAGAACAGTAGGAAAGTAAGTCCTTCATTTCATAAAGCTTGTCTTAAAGTACAAAGAAGATAAAAAATGCTGTGAAGCCGAACCTGCAGCCATCGGCATCATTCTGGGGTCAGCCCCCGCTCCTGGACTGACCCAGGCTCTGTGAGCCGCGGGTGGCGGGAGTCGCTCCCACCCCATGCTCTGGGCTCTCCCCTGGGGCTCGGGAAGCTCAGCGCTTTCGCTCTCATCCCCACGGCGGCGCTGTGGCTGCTCGCCCCAGGAAGAGCTTCGGTAAAACATGAAAGATTAATTGCTCCGTGGGTATTACTCCTTTAACTAAAAACTCAGTCAACGGAACATAGTTTTCCCCGAAACTCCTGGTTACCTGGCGTGAAGTGCCCTCTCCCTCCAGCCCTGGCAAGGCTCCGGGTCCCACTTCAGAATCCTGTCCCCAGCTCTCTGTCTGAACCGAGCATTCACTCCAGAAATTCTCACAGATTGAGATTCCCTGACTGGCATTTGCCATCTCGTAAGTTGTCATAAACACAGAACAGCAGCTGAAAGGCAGTTTCTCAAAACCGCCAAGCGTGTTTCCTTGAGGCTGTGCACAGGCACGCGTCCCACTCCGTGGGGCTCACTACTAGGATGTGGGAACTACGTTTGTCCTGCTTCACTCCCACCTGCGAGGCCCTGGGAGGGCCCAGGTGCGGTGCCCCGGCCCTTGCGTCACCTGTGGCTGGCCGAGACCCTGCCCGCGGGCCCGGGGCAGGCGCGGGTGGGGGGCTGCGGCAGCTCTGGGACCGGGGGAGGGAGCTGAGGTGGGCACGTGTTTAGTCTGGGTCTCCTCGGATGTACGTGCGTCTCGCCCTCACTTCTGTGTGGTTGGGTCGTCGCATTTGCAACTCTGTCTCTATTTCGTCAAGAGACACCTACACACCACTCAGGCTGCAAGCCTGCAAACCCTGTACCCCTCCCTGTGGCTCCACAACTTTCCAGGCCTTTCTCTTTTCCTGAAAATGGAAACTGATGCCATCTAAACCAAGGGCCACGAAGAAATCGAGTCCGCTTCAACACATATGCTCCCAAATCAATGTCATGTGCAGGAGGGGTGCTGTTACCCACGATCGGTGCAAAGTACCAAAGACCAGGTTAAGTCACTCAAGACTCCCTCCCTCTCCGCTGGGCGCAGCCCCAGTCCTGCCCCGGCCAGCACTGCTGGCTGTGGCTGCCCACCGTGCAGCTCGCGCCCCGACAGCCCCGACGGAGGTTACTGTGGGTTTGATTCTATCCGTTCCCCAAACATTAGGATATTAAGCATTTCTGCACAATTTCAACTGCACTGCCGAAGTAGGTATGAAGCATTATCTCATTAAACTCAGAAGAGATGTTAACAATGGACACTGGACATTCAGATACAGCCATGTCACGTGAGGTGTGTCCTCGGGTTAATTTCATCCGAAAAAGCACACAGAGCTGACCATCTGTTCCAGCAGCAGGTGTCTGCGTTCTCTCATTTTTTCTTTCTTTTTTTTCTTTTGTGTAACTGAATTTTTCTTCAGTTTCTTTCGTTTATATTAAAACTGGGTTGTAGACAACACCATTATTCATAAAATATGGAGCAAATCAGTACCTGCTAACAGTACAATGACAGCCAATTTGTAAGTTATGGCAGATCCTCGGAATTAACACTACAGACAATTCACCGCACATGCAGCTTGTAAAACTCTGCCTTTAACTATTGACTTCTTTCTGTTTTCTTTCTTTCTAAATGGAGGTCCTGGGATGGAACCCAGGGCCTCCTGTGTGTAAGCATGCCCCTGACTGCTGAGCCGTGCCTCCTCCCCTTTGTGAGCTGTGCCCCCCTTCTCCTTTATGAGCTGTGCCCTCCCCTTTATGAGCTGTGCCCCCCTCCCCTTCGTGAGCTGTGCCCCCCTTCTCCTTCGTGAGCTGTGCCCCCTTCCCTTCGTGAGCTGTGCCCCCCTCCCCTTCGTGAGCTGTGCCCCCCTCCCCTTCGTGAGCTGTGCCCCCCTCCCCTTTATGAGCTGTGCCCCCCCATTAATTTTTAAATACTTGTGACTTGGAGTGAAGTCAAATAATGCGTGTCAGTGATCACAACTTTAGGATCAAGCGCCTGTAGCAGGAGGCAGCGTGCGTGCACTCGAGGGACACCCTGCTGACTCTGAGCGGGGCTCACACTGGGAGACCAGTCCTCTGTCCCCCGGCCGGGGGAAGGGAACGTCCCCCTCGGGCACGGGGCTTCCCTCGGGCGGGCTGGGCTCGGGGGCACAAGGCCTACCTTCATCTCGATCTGCCTGGTGCCCAGATTCTCAAACAGCAGCTTTACCCAGGTTTTCCCGTCGTCCAAAGATCCCCTCAGCTGAGAGAACTTAAATCTCCAGAGCACGTCCTGTAAAGGAAGGAACCAGTGAGCGGTTTAGACACCAGCGCTCCTTTGTCCAGTTAGCGTCTGTCACGAGTCACAGAATCTCGTGAAACGCTGCAGACACTTGCCTGTTACGTTGTGCAGCTGAGGGCCTGGTCACGACTCAGAATCCGCACCTTCTCTCTCTGGGTCTAAGGCACGGAACCCCTCAAACACCAGGCTTCCTGGGGGTCCCTCCAGCCAGGCTCCCAGTGGCCGGTCGGGGTCCTGGGAGCCCGGGCCTCCACCGTGCCCCCTCCCGCCCCACTCCACCCTCGCCGGCTTTCTCTCGGCTTCTCCTGGACATCGTCCCAAAGCATCGGAAGAGCACTGCTCCTTTCTCTGCTTGTAAACCTTGGAAAACCCACTCCAAGGCCTGAGTGAACGCGGTCGAGATTGCAGATAAAATGAAGACCTTTCTCCCGACAGGCACGTGCCCGCCTGAGGCCACATCCAGATCCCTCAGCGTTGGGTTCCCCAGAACCAAGCCAAGAAGCATAGACAACATTAACTCCTCTGCGCTCTGCTGGTGCAGGAGTCACTGCGTGCTCGCCACGGTCCTGGAGAGATGAGTATACTCCGTAAACGCCTGCTCTCTAATAGAAAGGGAGGCTGCGCCAGAATAAAGACTTAGCGGCTGCCCTTCACAGAAGACAGCCTGTGACTGTCGACTCTTCATGGTAATATACCTTCGTCTTCCAGGGAAAACCCCAGGAGAGAGCAGCAGTTATTTTTCAGCAAGTTACATGCTGCGTTTGTATTAAAAGCATCTATTTTGAAATAATGCACATATTTTTCTCTCAGTCTCACGGAAGGCCAGGAGGCTGGGAGGTGGGGACCCTGAGGGCATGGTGACGCCGTGTGCCCCTGGGCGGCAGATTCCACCCTCGCCACCCGCAAGGCTCCGGGCACGGCTTTGTTTTGTTTTGAACCTCGAAGCCCAAGAGTCTCCAGGTTTCACGGCCCAGGTCAAAGCACATGTTCCTTCTGGTTTCGAGAGACCTGGAACTCCGCAAGTCCGAGGCCGTGACCCCACATCTTCCACGTCCTCGGTGGGAAGCCGAGTCCACGCCCCCGGCTTGGGCCCCAGGGCCCTTTCAGGCTGGGATTGCTGGACTCGACCTAGAGCGCAGACTTTCGGAGGCCACGTCAATCGCCACCAGGGTATGGGTTCCAGAAGGGCCGCTGGCCCACGGAATAAACTGAAGGAACCAACCAGAGCACCGGCAGCCCGGCCGGGAGGGCCAGGGACAGTGGGGAGATCCCTGAAGCGCCTCCCCCCACCCTCCCCGGGGCTCCCAGCGTCGGGGCATCGCCTCGCCTACTGCCCACCCTCCGAGGGCTGGGGAGGGCCGCTGTGGTTTCAGCCTCTAGGTTTCATGAAAACAGCTCAAATCTCAGCTGCCTTTAAACTACCCGCCCTTAAGCTGTCCTATGAGGAACCTGCAGTCACTTAAGGACGGGCGTCCAAGAAGCCAGAGGAATCATGGTTTTGCCAAATTCCTCACAAAATAAGCAAGACCCAAACGTCTCTAGGAACACCACCACTCAGTGTTTGCTCAAATCTCATTAAAAAGAGGTCAAGGAACATTCTGGGAATGACCTTCATAATTATCATTACATAGAATCATAAATGGCTGTTAAAACAGTATAGACAAAAAAGAGCCAAAATCCCCACTTGAGAGTCCTGCTTGCTGTTCAGAGAATTCTCGAGGGTCCTTACGGCCAAGTCCGTGTGGAACGCTCCTTGTGCACTGGCATCCTGTGTGCGCTGATCGGAGAGCAGTGCTGGCGTCTGAAACAGACACACAGTTCCTTTGCTTAAAGCCGTGCTCTGACTCCCCGTGAGGGCCCCCGAGTGGGTCAGGCAGGACAGCTGCCACGGGGCGGGGCTGGCGGGCACCTCCGCCCTCCCTCGCTGGCGAGCGGGACGGGAAACAGGCTAAGGCCAGGCTTCATCTTCCGAGGGCAGGCGGTTAGTGGCGGTGACCTCTGCCCACTTCCTTTGCAGCAGACATGAGCGATCAGAACGCGGGCGACGGGCAGCACACCCGCTAACGGCCCGGCTGGCTGGACCCCAGACTGGGGGAGGGGCCGAGCTGCAGGCTCACTGGTTGGCGTTCTTCTGTGTGGTCCGGCCGAGCCTGGCTCCTCTCCCGTCAGGTCGGAGCCAAATCTTCACCTCCCACTGCGAGAAAGGCAACTTCCTGTCTGGTTTCCCCCCAGACCACGGTTCCACCTCCGTCTCAGCTCAGCCCGGAGCTTTATCCGATCTCAGGCTGGGAACTGGCCACTGGGTGACGAGGTCCGTCCTGAAGCCCCCTCTGACGGCCCTGACACAGAAACGCTACTTTTCTGCTCTGAGTGGAGAGCATCACTGGTAAAAGAAAACGTGGGTGCAAGTTAACATTTAGGGACAAGGCCGTGCCCCAAAGTAACAAGCAAATAAGGAGAAAAGTTCCCTTTGGTTCCCGGTCCCAGACCCTTGACGACACGGGTGTGGGCAGCCCCAGAGGACACGCAGCCTAGAGGAGGGCAGGTCCGAGCCCCACGCCTGTGCCGGGATGTCCACACCGTTTCCTAAGCCATGTTGTGTCCTCTCCCCTCCTGCTTAACGACAGAACTGGGCATTGGTCAGCCCTAAACCCAGGGGTCAGTAAACATGCGGGGCCTCTGCCGTGTCCAGCAGGGGGCGGGGGCGGGCAGCTGGATGGAGGTTTAGCTGACTCTGGTTTCATATTTCCATTCTCTCTCTTTTTTTTCTAGGGGGAGAGACAATTAGGTCTTATTTATTTTCTAGTTGGCGGTGCTGGGGATTGAACCCAGGACCTTGTGTGCGCCAAGCATGTGCTTTACCCTGAGCAAGCCCTCCCCACCCTTAGTTTAATATTTTCAAAATCGTCTAGAAACGTAGAAGTACTGGAGACGGTCTTCTTATCCACTTTGTCAGGCGCAGAAGACGCTTCCTGCTCAGACGCATGTCTTTCCCGTGCATCTCAGACCTTCTCAGCGTACCGCGCCTTTATTAATGTCGGGAAAGGAGGACTGAGGGTGAACGGATTCACGCCGAGAAACAGCTGCTCACCTGCTCCCTGTCCGGCGCGGGGAGCGGGGACTAAGAAATCCGACCACGCGGATGCTCCGGAGGGGGCGCCGTGCAGACGCCCAGCGTTGAAGTTTGCTGTGTCGTCGAGTCCAGGGTTTTGTTCTTACAGCGTTCGGCTAATAAGTAGCACTGCCACGCTGGGGGTCCCGCTTTACCAGGAGATCACACACACGCGGTCCTCTCACAGGGTGATGTCGCAGAGAAGCGCCAGTTATCTTGCAGCGATAAAATCCCCCTCCCCCCGGCCCCTGCGACTGGAGGTCGGCCCCGCCTGGCGCTGGAGCTCCTGAAATCTGGGACCTGAGCCTTCACAGGGGGGTCAGCCGGGGAGGACAACTCGCTCCCGCACGCCGGTCGGGGCTGGTGATGGCCGCAGACGCGCGTGGGCTCTCACGTCCCTGCAGCGCCACAAAGCGCCCGGCCGAGGGGCTCCTTGCTCTACTGCCGGATGCTCATCTTTGGGAAGCAGGTGAATCCCAGCGCGAAGTCCAGCGTGAAGCACAGGGCGTCTCCCCGCCAGCTGCACAGGTACGTTTTGGACTAAAAAAGTATGAATTGGGAGAAAACGTTATTTAATAATGCCGTCTTTTACTATTTTTAATTAAAAACGAAATACAAAGAGCATCACACGGAGGAGGGATAAATTAGGATTTGGGGATCAGCAGACACAACTACAAAATGTAAAACAGACCAGCAGCAGGGAGCTACATTCAACGCGCTGCGGTAACCGCCAGTGAGGAAGGGTGCATACGTGTACAGCCGAGGCACCGTGCTGCACACCAGAAACAAACTCAGCCCTGCAAATCAGCGCGACATCCATCAGAAAAGCTACTACGAACAGGAAAAAGGCAGAGACACCCCACCACACGGTTCTTCCGCCGCCCGGCCCTCCCTGCCCCCTCCTTCTCCGGCCTCTGCTTCTCCTCCTCTCACCCCTTTGCAGTTTGTAGCATGGACGGAGGCCCACACAAATGCTGCTCAGTTTTGCCTATTTCTGAGATTCGTGGAAATGGACTCAGAACTGCTGTGCCAGCCCAGACCCTCTGCAAGCCGTGCTGACGGGCCCAACCCGTCCCCTCCGCTTGCTGACTTTGCCCTTCTAGTGAGTGCAAACATCTCACTGTGACGGGAGCGGACGTTTCCCTGAGACTTGGGGGCTCCCCCTCCGGGTGGCCCACCCTCCACGGTCCCTCCCAGGCTCCTGTCCCGGGAGCCCCTGGCCCACATCCCTCCTCTGAGCATCTCCAGGTGGAGGTGGGGACCCGGGGGGCAGCCCTCGGAGGAGACGTGTTCGAGCCCTGGGCACCCTCCCTGTCTGGGATGGGGTCGGTCACGTGTGTGTGTCACACAGTTCACTCAGGAAATACCTGGCCTGGGACACATTCAATATGCTGGACGTGTGCAAAACGTCACGAGGCGGGGAAATCCTACGTGTTTTCCCTCGAGAATAAATGTCTGCATGGCTCTGTTTCTGCACCGCCCTTCAGGGTGGGTTCTCCCTGAACACGGCGGCTTGGACTCCGCAGGTGTGCCGGGACGTGGGGCCCCAGGTGGGCGGTGGGTCACGGACCCTTTGACTAGGGAGGCAGAACTCTGTCCATCCTGGTGGAACAGGACAGGCCAGAGCACCTGACACCACTGCCCTGCGGGGAAACGCGGAGGGAAGTGTGACAAATGACTGATTTCCAGGGAGCTGCTGCTGCTGGAGACACGACAGGCCGGGCCAGGTGCGGGAGGGCTGGCGGGGAGGCCGGGCTCTGATCTGCTTCTGGGCGAGTGCCCACCACCTTCCACGTCCTGCACCCCCCAGGCTCGAAGCAGGAGGGCGGGGGCAGGCCCCTCACCCCACAGGGCCCGCCCACCGTGAGGGCGGCCGTCTCTTCGGAAGCGAGGCCCAGTGCGCAGGGAAGCTCTTCGAAGGCCCTGCTTTCCTGGGGGCTGTGACCGGGCTCCACGCCCCGCGCTAAGACAGTCCGCGTCCCGCGGGCCCTCCCTCTGAAGCCGCCCCACCGACGGACGGCAGTGTGCCCGGGGAGGGTGCGGGGCGGTGAGGGAAGAACTGTAAGGCGCACAGGATTCTGGAACCTCGGGCCGTCCAGGGGAGCAGGAAGCCCGCGTCCTGCTGCGTTTGTAGCTGTTGGTCTGTCAGATTTTGAGATACGCAGACAGAGACTAAGGCAGCAGGGGGTGACGTCACGCACCACCCAGACTCACTCAGCAGTGAGCCCCCCACCACATGTGTAACCCCGACCCTAACGCACCTCCTGTGACCCTCAGTTCCATTCCAGGAGAAACTTCCCCGTCCCGACATTTCCCGTGTCCTTATGTAAACCCTTGGGGAACAGGGTTAAAACTAAGGAATGCTTGAGGCACTGAGACGGACTAGCTCATCAAAGAGGACATCTTCTACTAACAGAGTCATTCTCCCCATAAGCTTCTGCCCCTTTGGGGAAGTTATTCTGGGGAGATGATGTTATCTGAGTAAACAGGGAGCGGAATCTGCCGTGCTGGCTGTGCACACACTGCCCTATGTGCTGTGACATCCACTTGACGCCTGGACCACTGGTCTTCAGCCTCGTGGCCACAGCTCTAGAGCTCACAGGGATGCGGGACCATGCCCAGCAGGAGGCGGGCACGGATGCTGCCCAGATGGACCCACGCTCCAGGGTCACCGAGCATCACTATCTTCCCAGCATTCCAGCTCGAGTCCGGGGGGATGTGGGATTTGATCCTCCAAGCTCCGATGAAACAGGAACAGCACAGACCCCAGACAAACCCCATGCCCGACTCAGAGCCAGAAGACCTGCTCACCTGCACCTCCTGCTTCTGGGACAGAGACGTGCACTGAGCACGAGCCCGGCCAGTGTCCTCCGGGCAGCAGGCGTGACTTCTCCTCCGGACGTTCCGGAACTTAAACACAGGCAGGGCGTTCACGTTCCTCCGACGCCCAAGGACGCAGACTTGTGATTCTTAAGACGCCGAGATACTTTGCTCATGATCTGTGCTGGAGTTTCTCCCCTTATTCTGACACCTGCGTCCTCAGGCGACGCGGTTCTTCGCTGGTAGAATGTGCTGTGACTGCAGGCTGGAGGAAGCATCGTCTTGCCTAAACCACCGTGGCTGATCCATTTACAGTTAAAATTAGCAGAGACTGGAGTTCCTTCTTGCATTTCTGATGTTTTCATCAGAAGTACGTTACTTTCTAAATATAAGTCGGGTCAGCAGTCATTATAACCTAATCATTCTAGAAACTCCCATGATTTTCCCTCCGGTGACTCAGTGCATCTCTGCTCTGCAGATGACCTAACGTTCTCTTATGAATTCCTCCATTTACCAACTATTGAGGTGCACAAAGTACCCCGTGCTGAGAGGAACTAGGGAAGTGGTCAAAACCTCACTCCTGGTAGGGGCGAGGCTGGGTTGGAGCACAGGGTCCGGCTGTAACACCTGGATGGCTCTCGTTGCTGCACGCATCACCCTAGGTGCCTCCTCCAGGCAGAAAGGAGCCTCCGCAGTCTTCTGACGAGGGTGGCAGAGGCCAGCGGTGTTGAAGAGGACCAGACTGGCAGCAGCGTGTGCCACGTCGTGATGGAGGGGAGTCGTAAACACAGCGGCCAGCTAAGAGGTGATGGCTGCCCCCCAGCCTGAGCACACGCGAGGCCATCTGCACCAGGCCCCCGACTCTGGGGTGCTCAGGGAGTTCCAGAACGTTCTTAGCCCCCGGGCCTAGCGGGGTGTGGCTGGCGTCCAGCGTGGGGGTCGTCTAGGCGGCGCTCCTGCAGCTGCAGGACGGTCTTCCAGGCTGTCCTTCACTCTCCCAGCCATGCTGCCATCACTCAGTGCCGCTCCCCTTTAGGTGAAATCCTTCAAAAGCCCTCCACGGGTTGGGACACAAAGCAAATCTTCACAATTCAAAAGAACAAAATCTCACGTTGGAACGAAGCGAGGAATCACTGGGAGAAGGAAAAGTGGAAAACAAGAAAATACATGGAAATTAAACATCCTCTTGACAGCAAATGTGTCAAATCAAAGGCCACAGAGACATCAGAAAATACCCTGAAGTAAATTAAAGTATAAACACGACCAACTGGAACTTCGGGGAGGCAGCGACACCAGTGGTGAGGCTGCCGCAGGGAGTCGCGCTGACGAAGAAGAAAGCTTTCAAGTCAGCATCTCACTTGATGCCTCACAGGACTTGAAAAGGAACAGAGTAACCCCAAGGGCCCGAGGAAACAAGGACCGAGCCAGAGGCAAAGCAGAGGCTAGAGATGCGGGCGGGGCTGAGCGCCTTGAACCGGGTTGCCGGACACTGGCCGTGGAAACCGAGTAACAGGTTGAGAACCAGCTCACGGGAGCCGTGTCTGGAACACTGAAAGCTGGAGTGCGCCACGTTACACATTTCTGTCTTCTGGTCGGTTTCCATTCCTGATTAGGGCCCGACCTCCATCTGCATTTTAACTCAGTCACGCTCCTCAAGGCCCGGGGCCTCCCTGACACCTCAGGGACCTACCCAGTGAACAGTGGCTCCCTGTGCGTGGGGATGGACACTCCCCTGTGAGGCGCACACACCGCGGTGCACACAGCACAGGCCGGCTGCAGCCTGAGGCAAACACACACGCCGAGAGGACCAAGCATCGTCCTGCTCCTCCGAAGACACAGCACCGTGGGATGGACACCGTCAGCGGGACGTCGGCCACGAGACGTCCACGTCCTGGTCCCCGAGCTATGGGTGTGCTCCCTTCATGGGAAAGGGGGCTTTGCTCATGTGATTACGTTCAGGACTTTGAGGGGGGGGAGCCTGGGTCACCCTCATCAAGTTATGTGAGCCCTTACAAGTGGGGGCCGTGTTCCCCTTGGCCTGAGGGACGGGAGATGGCATGAGGGTGACGGGGGCACTGCTGGCGCCGAGGACGGAGGAGCCCCGGGGGCCCCAGAGGGAGAGCTCCGCCAGCAGCCTGGCGACCACCCTGAGCCGCAGGTCTGTGGGACAGCGGGAGGGGCGGCGTTTCCCCCACGGCGCTCGCGGTGCCCCTCACGCAGGAGCAGGGCGCCGACAGACGCTCCGGCTGCTCTGCTGCATCTGACTGTGTGCTTCTGGCATTCGGGTTTTCAGTGACCTTCAGCAGCTTCGCTGACTTCTTCCCCTTTCAAGGGCGCCTGGAGATAAACTGTCGTCTCAGCCTCGTCCTTGAACCAGCTCCCTTTCCTTTTCGTGTCACACCTGCCTTTTCTGAACAGCCTCCCAGGAGCCACCTTCCA